GTAATAAAGGATCTAACCAAGAGGGATAACTCACAATTGAGAAATGAGCAAAATGTAGGGTTTTGATGTTATGTATATTATAAGGATGGTCATATAGTACGTGATTGTCCAGAAAAGGTATTGCAAAATCAATCTGTAAACAAATTTGAGGAGTATCAAAGAAAGGACTGAAGCTTGAACAAGGAGAATAAGAAGCAAAAGGACCCCAATGTATGTTTAGTGGATCTTACAAATGAGGAGTTGGACAAAACAGTAAATATCTAATAGTTAAATTAGTCGATGATGTGGGACAAAGTTTAGCGAATATTAGGAATTTAGATAAAAGAAAACAAAATGATATAACAAATGAATGCCCTAATAAAAAGGGAAGGACTCTAAAAATACTAGAAGTAAAGCATAATGAACAAGTATTGCCACTAGATCAAAAGGAAAGGAGTAAGGAAACTGTAATATATATACTATTATTAGATATGACTGAGAACCTTGATATTTTAAAAGCTATAGCCGATCAAAAACTTACTATCTCACTTGGGCAACTATTCAAATGGTCACCCAAGGCAAAAAGCGAAATAATAAAAGCATTAGTATGAAAAAGAAGAGAGGATGATATTATATACATGGATGTCAGGTTACGGTTGGTTAAAGGAAATAAAATAAGAGAAAGTAAGAATGAAATTGTATCTGTGTGGCCCACCTTGATAAATAATGATCTTGTAAACATACCGATTGATCCCAGTTTACGCCTAAACTTAATGTATAAGAGTTATGCAAAGAAAAGAGGACTTAGATAGGATCATGCATATGGAAAAAGAAAAATGGTAAACGATAGAATTAGTGAATTTATAGAATACATACCTCAAGTGGAAGTCGAAATGAAAGAAATAAAGATGAATCAAAGTTTTTACATAATGGATTTGGCAAGTTTCAATGTTTTACTTGGAATGCTATGGTTGGCTAGTACACTATGTAGTTTATATTAGAAAAAAAATGAATATTGGTGCACAGTATCATCGACAGATAGAGAATCATTATTTATCATCTCGGTAGTACCATGGAATTGGATAGAGAAAGATGACAAAAGTGACAAAGGATCAGATAAATATAATGATGACAACGACGGAGTAAATCAAGTAATGGCTATAAGAAGATTCCAAGTTGTAGAAAAGAAAAATGAACCTCAAAGAAAGAGAAATCGGAATCTGAGAATAAATGAGGAGAGCCACGTAATCGATATTATAATAAGACTGAAGAACAATCAAAATCATTGAAACCAGTAGTATTATGAAAACTAATGGTAGAAAATGCAAACTTACTTAACTACAGATCTAATCTCTTATCAGTAGAAAAGGAGTATATAATAGGCTGGCTGGAAAAAGAAGTATCACAAACATTTGCTTTCAATTTATCTGAATTGGGCCATACTGATCTGGTGAAATATGAAGTACAAACCAGAGATGCTGAAATACCACCTATGAGGCTTTGGCCAATTAGAGTCAATAATTTAGAGAAAGCACAATTGTTTGAAGATCATCTCAAGGAGATGATTAAGTATGGATTATTAGAGGAGGGTAGTAGACTTTATGCATATCATTGTTTTCCTATAGATAAAAAGAAAGGAGGAACAGATCAAATATGTGCCTTTGACAATATAAAGCCTTTGAATAAGTATATAATAAAGGACAGTTATCCACTCCCCATTATAAGAGATATTCTGGAAAAAGCGGCTGGTCATAAATGGTATTCTAGTGTCAACATGTTTAAAGGATACTGGCAGATACGAATATGTGAAGAAAATTGCAATAAGGTGGCAGTATTAACAATACTAGGGGTCTTGCGGTATATGGTGATGTGTATAGGCTTGAAGAATGCTAGTGAAACCTTTCAGAGGTTAATGGATTTGGTTCTAAAAGATGAAAAGTGAAAGAGGTTAGCTGCAATATATCAAGACGATGTTGGGTTATAGACAGATGGGGATTTAAAGAATCATGTAGATACATTCATTAAATTAGCTAAGATATTTGAAAAGGCTGGACTTATGTTTGCCACAAAGAAATATTATATAGCATGTAGAGAATTGGATATGTATGGGTATATGGTGAGTAAAAGGGAAATAAAAGTGGATAATAAAGGGTTAAAGAGGATATAGCAGTGGTCTAAACTGAAGAATCAAAGCAAGATAAGGTCATTCCATAAGACTGTGGAATACTATCATCACCTTATAAAAAACTTTAGTGAAATTGCATGGCTATTGACAGACCTGATAAGAAAAGATTGTAAGTTCTATTGGGAAAAGGAACAAAAAAAGTTATTCGAACAATTAAAGAAAGGTTGTTAGAAGATGTGGTTTTGAAAGGACCCAATTAGAATGGTGCGAAAAAGAGAGAAAGACCATATCAATTATACACTGACACATGTGATGTATCAGTTGGTGCAGTACTAGAACAA